CTTTTTATCACCATTTTGTCAAAACCAGATGTGATACTGTGCACTTCTGTTTTAGGTAGGAAGTTCTAAGGCCCACAAAGAGTTTCTTTGGACCAGTAGTATGTGATGCCTGGATAAAAGGCACCTTAACATATAAACACAAAGAGCTATGTTTCAAGCATCCAATAGGAGATTACACTGCATGGGGTATAAGGTGACACAGGAAAGAAAGACCTTCTAAACTATTTGGGGTGTATCCTTTTCAGTTGCTTAGTAACAAGTTAAATGGCAATGCCAGAATGTTCTGGAATAGCTGTTAATGCAGTAACACTAGGAAAAGCAATCGCTGAATAGTTTAAACTGAAAGAGTAGACAGAGGACGTAAAGGAACTGAACAACAGGAAAGGGAGGCACTGCTGTTTTATATGCAAGATATCATAATGACTGTGATAAGAGCTTCTTGTAGTTTGTCAGAAATATGCTCAGAAAGTGGTGGGGGAAATACTGTACAGCGGTGCCCCATATGACGACGATAATCTGTCCCATTGAAATCGCTGTTTATCTAAATCATTGTCTTGCGAAAACCGTTTCCCCATTGAAATGCATTGGAAACCCATTTAATGCATTCCAATGGGGAAAAATCGTCGTTTTGTGAAGATCGCCCATAGGGCAGCCATTTTGCGAAGTGCCGATCAGCAGTTAAAATGGCTGTCCTGCAAAGCATCGGTCCCAAAAACATAGGGAAGCCATTTTGTGAAGCCGCCAATCAGCTATAAAAATTGTCGTCTTGCGAAAAAACGGTCCACGAAGCACGGACCAAATCATCGTCCAGCGAAAATCACCCATTGGAATCACTGTTTTGCAAATCACCCCCTAGAGTCGGACATGACTGGACTAAAATGTCAAGGGGAATCTTTACCTTTACCTATAATGATAGCAAAACCTCCTCATCATGTGGATTTGTTGTTTTGTGAGGTCATCGTCTAGCAAGGTACCACTGTACTGTAGTTTTTCTTTAAAAAGAATGATGCATGAAAATATTTCTGAAATTGCAATATTGGGCAGATACATAAGCTGCTTATCTCAGAAATTTCCTGGTACTGCCCTCAACATTCCTTCAACAGGCATTATGGGAATACAGTATACCGTATTTTTCTGTGTATAAAACAACACTTTTCCCTAAAATAATTAGAAAAAAATTTGAGGGTCATTTTATACATGGTAGTAAGGAGGGGGGAGGGATCAAAGTGCAGTTTTGCAAAGAAAGTGGAGGAGGAAAGCACCCTCTCCACTTTCTTTGCAAAAAGTGGAGGGAGAAAGCAAGTTTTTGCAAAGGAAGTGGATGGGGAAAGCACTTTCCTTGCAAGAGGATGCAGGGGGGAAGTGATTCCTTCTTTTCCCCACCACTTTCTTGAGAGGAAAATGCTTCCCACCCACTTTATTTACAAAAAGCTGCTTCCCCCCACTTTTTGCGAGGGGGAAAGCAGCTTTTTGCAAAGAAAGTAGACAGGGAAAGTACTTACCTCCCAAGAAAGTGGAGAGGGAAAGCAGGTATCAAAGCACTTTGATCCCTGCCGTCCACTTTCTTGCAAAGAAAGAAATTTTGGGTTATAAAAGTGGGGTGCGTCTTATATATGGAGGTGTCTTATACACAGAAAAAATATGCTATATTATTTTCCTTCTTCCCAATGGGACTAATAGTCCGAAGAAAAAAAGAAATAATTTGTTAAATGTTAACTCACATAAATTTGAATTTTCATTTTTCTCCCAAAGTTCTTATATAATGCATACTAATAGCTGATCACTGAATTCTTAAAATAATTCATGCATCTAATGCTTCAGTAGCTAGACATTTCTTCAGAGAGCATTAAATCTGTATGGTATCCACTCATGTGCAGTACAACAGAGCCAAAATGTTGTCAATGTGGGACAGAAATAGAAATACAGCTATCTCGAAATTAAATATGTGTCCTCACCAGTACAGTCATTAGACAACATGACCAATATTGCAAGAGAAATTACGTACAGAAGTATGGAGTGGTTAGCATGTTTGACTTTTATCCCAGTGAGACTCAAAGCTGTTTCAGACAAGCCATTTGTCACATCATCATCCTGTCTCATTCGCTGAATTTTTATGGGGACTTGTAGAGCACTCCATTCGTCACCCTTCATTCATTTCCCACTGATTCTTCTGTCTTTTTCCTTACTGAAGAAAATCCAGTAAAGAGAAGACATAAGAGCTCTATTGTGCCTTGTAACTGCTGGTGTGAAAAGCCTTCCATCTGGAAATGCAATTGGATTCAAATTCCCTTTTAGCCACCTCCTCCTCCACCTCCTCCTTCCTTTTTTTTTTTCCTGATTCCTGACAAAACTCTCTCAGGCAACTCCCAACTGTGCTCCCTAACTTTCCTGTCTCCTAACTACCTTTACTCAATTCTACCTTCTCTCCCTCACTGTATATATGATCAGAACTCTCTCTCTCTCTCTCTCTGGCTTTGTGGTTCCCAGTGTCAGTTCTTGCTTCCAGCTTATTCTTCTGAGGCAAAAAGCAGCACTGCCATGAAAGCACTCAGCAAAGGCTCTGTTCTTGGATTGGCAGGATGCAGGTCAGAAGGAAAAGGGATTGGGGGAAGGGCTCTTCTAGGCAGGAAAATTTCAATCTCCTGTTTCTTCCTCTTTCCCTCACTTGATAACAACCTATCATTGGACTTAATGAGATTATTGTTCAAACCTCCATCTAAAGTCACTTCTCCAAGAGCAGCATCTCTAGAGGAAATCCTTTCAAAAATACAAATCAGTTTTTAAAAATCAACACTCTCTGTTGGAACTTCTCTTCTGAGGAATGGCTTCTAAGCTGTTACAGTATTGTGTTTATTTTTGCAGTAGGCATGCATAGCATCTTTGGACAAATGCTGCAGATTTTTGAAATTTTGGTTACATTCCTCTAGCAGAAGTGTAGGAATGAACAGCAAAATTGCTTCAGGTTCTCCAGAGTAGTCCACTCTTTATCTCATTAACTGGCACTTACAGTCTCACTAACTCACTATGAGACATTAGTAAAGAGGGGGGAAAAGCAATTTTCTTTACTTCCCAGTTGTGAACAGATCAAACAGGAAACTGAGTAAGAAGACTGCTTTAGACAACATGCTTCAAGAGACTCAAAGGAGAAGGAAAATACACAATGCAGAGAGATGGTGCTCTCTTTTAATTCAGAGGCAGGAGGGAACAATTGGTTCATGCTGGATAGATGAACAGTTACCCAAGCCCAGAAAGGTCCCCTCCAACCACACCTTCTCCAGGTAACATGCAAAACTCCAAAGGAAACTGTGCAAAACAGACCCAGTCAGAGGCCTTTGTTCAATTCTACGCTAACTGTAGACAGAACAAAGGGTGCCTATTCACTACCTGGGCATAGCAGCACCCCAATGAATCCTTCTATTTGCCATTTGTAGGGTTAGTAAAACTATCTGTGATTTTAATTAAGGAGAGAGAAAATAAAATAGTACTTGCACATTGAGTTCCTCACACCAAAGGAGGACAACCTGTGAAGCATAAGAGCTTTCATGAATAGTCCAACCATGAATGTCCTAGCAAGGACTCAGATGAGATCACCATGCACTATATATATATTCTCCTGCAGCCACTGCTACACCCATTTTGTGGAGCTGTGGGGCAAAGCAAAAGACTTGGGTTACTGTTTTTTTAAAATCTTTTTTGTTTAGTTCTAGAACAGGATTGTTTTTCTTTACTTAGAATTGAGTGTGTGTGTGATTGTGGAAGGATGACTGCCATGCAGGCTTTGATTGGATAGGTCACACAATTAAAGTGTTAGGATCTATCTTTCCTTTCCATGCTCCATCATTTGTTCTTGTCTCTCTTTCTAAAATCTTTTTTAATGTTGTAAATACCCACCACAGCCTACTGGGATTCTGACTGCAATGTTCAGATGCACCACGCCCCCAAAACCTGACGTATATATTTATGTCAAAGACTCTGAACAGAGATTGAAATGTCTCTCCAAAGGGCACAAGGCAAGTCAGTCTGGTGAGGGGGCCTTCTGAATATATCTGAATAATTTGAAGTTAATTTAAAATCTCTGATGAGGAGGCTGAGAGCAGAAATGCACTCCCAGCACTAAACTCCACCCCCTTGGGAACAGATCAGGATAAAAAACAAACCAACCTTCAAGAAGAGACCAAAAAAAACCAAAAAAAAAAAAAAAAAACCCACCCTTACAGATTTTCCATTATGGAAAGTTATGGATTTTGTAAACGTTGGAACTGACAACAAACCTTACATCATGTGGACAGTGGGGGAAATGATGATAAGATCATTACTGAATCAAGTAGAAAGTGGACAGCAAACGCTCCACCTGAAGGATCCCTGGGGGTGCAATGCAAGGGAGCATCAATGTGTTTGTGTCTGTGCATGTGTGCGTGTGCAAAAGAAAAGTGTTGCCAAGGGTAATAAAAGCCCCTTACTTCTTCTCTTTCCTTCTCATTCTTTCTTTTGCACATATCCAGTTTTGTCCACTGAGGGTCAACCTACAAATATATTCAGCTGGTCATTACGAGCAGAGACCCCGTAAGAGTGAAAGACTAGCCATTTTCACAGAAAGCTATATAGATTGAAGACACACAGTGGAATCAGGGAAGGGCATCAATCAACTCAGGCTTTCAGGTCACAGAATGAAATATTTACCCTTTGGAACTGATAGACATGTTGGGATGTGCATTGTTGTTGTAGCAGCAGCAGCAACAGCAGTACCTATTGTTGTTGTTAATCTTTTGATTTGTCAGCATTGCTGGTGCACAGGGGTCAGGGCTAAAAATTACGGATTAAGTCATAAATATTTTCAGGTGAAATGAGATGTTTACAAAACTCCTGATTTTTGAATTTCAGGAAGTAAACTAGCAGCTATTGTTTGCTTGTTTGCTTAATTTGGAACCACTCTGGTTGCTGAAATTAGTATTGGGAGAAGGATGATCTGATCTTGCTTTCATATTCTTTTAACTTCTTAGTGTTGGTACTTGGCAGACTTTTGAAGTTACTGGTTGATGGAACTCCAGCTTCTACAAGGTATGTTTTTCTATGTTGCTTATCCAGAAATTTAATATTTGGATTATTAAAGCTAACTGTTTTATTCATGATTACTTGCTTGTCTCAGTAGAGTATTGCAGTTTCATTTTTCAAAGCTGCAGTTGGTTAGAATTTATAATATGGGGAAAGGATGTGAGTAGTCCACAATATTTAGCCAACTGCTGAAAAAGGATCTTTGCAACTTGGTTATGCCAGCATGTACAGCCTGTTGTTGGTGCTTGCTTAGAACATCCAGATATGACATCATGAATGGCTTCTTTAAATTTGTGACAGGACCTACACCTTGCTTCATATTTTCTGGTAGTATCTAGTGCAGATAACTTGGTCTTGAATTTAGAAAATGACTCCCTCAGTTTCAGCCTGAAAACAACCTAATTTAAATCACAGGTTCAAGTGTTGCTTATCAGCATTATCATGCAAGAGGTTACGGGGCACTGTCCATGTAAATGTTTCTCAAGCCTCCACTGTGGCTCTTTTGTTAATGTAGGTTGGTTCTCAATACTAACAGTAATACTAATAATTATACTTATTATTATACCTATTTTTATTATTTGAAAATTTAAAACATCAATTTTGACTAGTATTATATAACAAATACAAAATTCAACCCAAAACCTAAGTATCAGTTAAATATCATCATGGTACAGTACATATGCTGTTCCTATTATTGCTGGTGTTTGTGGTTTTTATGGTGTTATTTCAGAGATCTGCAGCTGATTATGATATTTTATAAAATTCCACAGCATTGCTCCCAATACTTTGATGACTATGGGGACCACTGAAATATGTTTCATGCACAAACAACACTAACAACAACAATAAGTAAACATTTATCTTGTGTCTAAACAACACCCACAAGAGTATCCTTCACATTAATGAAATCTGAATTCTATTTTTGTCTCATGGTGATGTGTTTTCTTCGTCTTTTCAATATGAAATCACAGTCATATTTTTCTTTCTTCTGTGTGAAATCTGAGTTCTGTATTTTCTTCCAATATGCAGTCACTCAACTTGGCAAACACGTGACCTTGTCAGTTAGATTTTCCATATATTTGTGTTTTTAAAAAGATTTTGTCGGCATCTTTCTTGGCTGTAGAGTCTTATATCATCAATTCATTGCCATAGGCTGCTAGTCTTCAACAAAAATGTCACACCAAATGAAGAAAGGTAAGACTGCAGGAAGGAAAGTTGGCCACTTCTACTCCTCTGGGTCCCATTCTTACAAAGACTCTTTCAGGTTCTTCTGGCTCATTAGCCAAACCTGAGTTAGAGGCAGACTGAGCTACCACTCTTCCTTCTGTCACTAGAGTGTCATACTTCAAAGAAACACCTCCTGAAGGACAGCAAAGTGTCACTGCTGGTGAATTCAGCTTAAAAAATGCTAAGAAGTGACACCAAGGACCCATTTCCTTCCCCGTTCTCCTTCGTCCCTGCAGTGAGGAAAAGAGCAGAGGCAATCAGTACTAATTTTGACATCCTGATGGATTTAGGAAGAATTCCTCTAGCTATGGCTCCACTGAGGTACAATCAATGACTGCAAGAAAAACATGATTATGAATCTCTGGAAATAACTTCACTACAAAAATATCCAAGAGAATTAATGAACCATAAAATGGCGACCATGAAAAACTGGGGAGCTTGACATGAACTAGATGTGCACAGAATTAGTGGAAGAGCAATGTGGCATCGACAACATGACTGAATCCTCTTGCTCTTTGTCACTGCCACTGAGTCAGTGGTTCGTAACGTAAAGCATTGGTTTGCAATGGCATGCTACGTGCGTAATTCAAATGTTCACACCAGGCTGCTGTGGCTGTGTAATGTTGAGCTTATTCACAACAAACAAACAACTGCCAAAACAGAAATAACTGCTCCCAACAGAAGATTTTTTTCTCTCAGTGAATTATTCGTAACTATCTTGTCTATATTCATCGGATTGCACCAATAACCATCCCAGTAATAGGATTATCAAATTTGCAGACGACACTACACTAGTAGGACTTATTTCCGGGGATGATGAGGCTGCGTATCAGGATGAGGTATTACAGTTATCCCGTTGGTGCAAAAAAAAAAAAACAATCTTCTATTTAACATCCAAAAAACCAAGGAATTTATAGTGGACTATAGGAAAAAAAGAGCAGACATTCAGCCACTGTATATAGATGGAGTTTGTGTGGAACAGGTGGTTGAATGTAAGTTTCTTGGGACCATCATAACAAATGACCTGACTTGGAGTGCAAACACCGCTGCGTTAATCAGGAAGGCGCAACAACGGTTGTATTTTCTAAGGATTCTTAGAAAACAACAATTGACTGAGAGTTTGTTAACCACCTTTTATCGGAGTTCGATTGAGAGCATATTATCCTACTGTCTTTGTGTATGTTTTATGAGCTGCACAGTGGCAGAGAAAAAGGCAATTCAAAGGGTGATTAAGACGGCCCAAAACATCATTGGCTGTTCACTCCTCTCTTTGGAAGAATTGTATCAGAACAGATGTAAGAGGAAGATATCTAACATACTGAAAGACTCCTCTCATCCGGGACATCAGCTCTTTAAACTATTACCATTGAGAAGGAGATTCAGGATATTGAAAGCAAGGACAAGTAGATTCAAGAACAGCTTCTACCCAAGTGCAGTATTGAGTTTAAATGCGGGGTCATAAGTTTTTGGTGGAATTTTAATTGCTGGGAGAAACAGGGTATCTATATTTGTATGGTGAGTGTTGTGTATATTTTAACTTTTTTTTGTAGTGGTGTTGTCCAGTTTTACCTTGGGGAAGAGCACCTCATTTCATTGCACCCACTTGTGAGTGCAATGACAAATAAATTTCTTATGTCTTATGTCTTATATGTGTTGCATTCCACTATTCTGTGCTACGAGGGATCAATATGTATACAGGAACACTTTGACATGAAAATACCAGTGTCATGTCAGCATGTATGTAAATTGCCTGCCAAGCATGTGAACTTAAGCTTATTTACAAGTACTGTACATAGTTATCTGGAACTTGTTGTTTTTGGGGTAATAACTAATGTGACTACTAGTTGCATTATATTTTTGGTGTAACAAATAATATCCAAGGATGTAGTGATACCATGTTACTCTGAAAAATTATTCTCAAAAGGCATATTAAGATGGACTTTACAGCAGTTTCCCAGGTTTTATGCCTTGCTCTTATCTATCCCAACTGGCAGGGGAAATACCCTTCGGTTTTCTTTTTCTTTTTGAAAATCTGAGGTCTGATACCAGAATTGGTTTCTAGAAGGAACCAAAGTCTATTTCCCTACGTTTTTCTTGCCTTTTGGCAATGACAACACAACAAATTATTTGTGTGACTGGTGCAATAATAATGATGACAACAATCTAGCTGCAAGTATTAATGATTGGCACAATGAGTTCCTTTAAAATGTAACATTCCAAGGTCTGAACAAATGGCCAAAATCCTATTGCTTAATGTAGTAAATCACACTACAGTAGTCTGACTGAATCAGTGGGGATTTGGTGAGTCAACTCATCCATAAACTGGATAGCTTTAAATGAACCTCCTTTAACTGTGGCTTACCACACCAAAGTAAGTTACAGTTAGAGCAGCCCATTTGAATCAATGGAAATTGCAAAGGACCTGACTTACTAAATCCCCATTGATTCAGTTGTTCTACTCTAGTGTGATTTACTATGGTAAGCACTAAGATTTTGGACAATTAACTAAGATTCATACTGTAAAAATAACACTGCTAAAGAAGAATATAAAACATGGTGTATTTTTCCAATGTATAACTTACTAACACATTCCCATTTGCCATCATTTTATGGTGAATTTTATGTGAGCAGATTGAGATGAACACCTGATGCGGAAGGTGATGTGTAGTAAAAGCATTTGTGTTATAAAATTGCTAGCATGAAGACAAATCGAGTGCCTTGACATGGTAGAGATGTGTGGTAAAATCCAAGTCACCACCTCCTGGGGAACGTAGGAAATTTAGTTTGCACTAGGAGATGGCAAGTCACAATCTTGATGTGGTTGTACATTTGTCACATATCAAAACAGTCAATTAGGTCATGCTGAAACAAGGAGAAAATCACCGGTTTCACCATGTCTGTCATTCCCTCAATTGATTGGAAATTTCATAGTATAAAGGAGAGGAATGCACATATAGAACGCTATTAACAATGGAACAGAGCAAATGTACTTGAAACCACACTGTACTGTATAAAGGAAAAATGTACAGGGGGAAACATTATTGCAATTACTACTCTAAAATTACTTTTTATGAGGCCCTGAACAGAAGTAGAGAAATTCTGTGAATTGATACATAAATTATGCACATTTTAGAAAACAAGTACTGTATAACCCTACAGTACAGTCGCATTTTGAGTTACTCAGTCATCCTGTAGGAAGCAAAATGGCTGCCACATGAAGGCTTCTTTAGATTTTTCCTCCCAATGTTGCCACTTGATAAGTGAGTTAATATGAAGTAGACTGTTGTGTATATATAGAGGGGATTTTTCCATTCACACAAGAATGACTAAGGTGGTAAAAAAAACCTGCCTTGGAATAATAAAATGAGCTCTGCATGTAACTGACAACATCTGCTGAGGAAAACAGCCATTTTGTTCTTGTTGAGCCATAAATTTATCATAGGTTTTCTCAACCACCTAAAAGCCTGTGCTGGAGCCCTCTTTTCTGAGCTGAACCAAGGACTGCAGAGGGAAGTGGGGGAGAAAATTGTTTTGCATGGTTCTGCAGCCCAAGTATAATATTTAATTTAGGCTTATGAGACTTTTTGCCACTTATGGAATTTACCATACCAGGTATTTCAGTTTTTCTACTGTATCTCATGGTGGTCAATTCAGAAAGTAGTCCATTATTTGCTTTTGGCCTCCACATGTAGAATCAGTGGCTGAAAGTAGTTGAAAGATTAATGCAAGCTGAGTAGAAGGTTAATATAACTCATTTATAACTCCAAAATCTTGACCTTTTGCAAATGATATCAAAAATCCATAAAGGCATTAAAACTGTGTATTATTACAGGTTAATTTATATAGTACTTCTCACATTCATGAGCTCAGAAACATGAAAGGAACTGTTCTTCTTTCAAGTATTATCTTCTGCATATCAAATTTCCAGTCCTCCACAGAAACCTTTAGCTCTGTTAAGCTAGCTATGTAGGAAACTATTATTTCCTGAAACTGAATCTGAAAATTAACTGCTTTCTCCTCACCTTTCTCTGAAATTTGCCCTAAGGGATTTTTTCAGGTGGTAGATTCTGTATAGATCTAGCACCTGTATTTTAGTAAGTGTTGGGAGTAGGATGACAATTTACATATCATCAAAAAGGAGGACAAAAGATAGCACTGATTTGCATAAAACTGCATATACTAATCTACTGTATATGGAGGAAAGCAAGACTAGAATGAGTTTTTATAATTTAAAGAGAATTACAGTGGGGAATATAGTGATTTACTTACCTGTACCTCTTAAGTCTGCTGTCCAGGTGCTGCTAATTGTGAATGGGCAACAGCACCAAGACCTCTCTCCCTGTGCCGCTTAATCTTTAAATCTGACTTGGGCTACATAGTCTTTCAAACACAGAACACCTTAAAGCAGAAAACTGTCTTTCATAAAACATGTTTCCATACCCACCCTTATATAGGAAGAAGTCAATAACCTTGATGCTCTGAGAACCTGCTGATCCAAATCAACTACCACATGGATTAAGTGAGTGCTGCTGCTGGAGTCATTAACACTTGGAAATACCAAAATTTATTGCTGGTGCAGGAATATCCCTGTGCAGTTTTTATACTCATGCAGTCCTATAGATCTTCCACTTCATTTCCTAGATGTAAGTATTTGGAAGTGTGCAGTTATTCGACAAAATGTACATATGCAGATGAGTAGTGGAAATCTCTCCTCCCCCTTGACCCAATTTCTGTCAGATTGAGTTATTCTGCATTAACTGCAAGTCATTATCCTTTTTTCCTTTGCTAAAGAGTTTGGATCTCTGCCTTTTCTCCTCTTCAGTGGTCCACCAAGCACTGAAGGAGGTCTCTTGGGGAAGGGTGGTGCAATTAGTTAGGAAGGTGTGAGTTTCCCTTAAATGTTCACAATATAGTAGGAACAAAAAAAAAGTTTCTGACCCCTTATTATATCCCAGTAACTCAAACCCCAAAGTACTTGAATAGCACTTTCAAAAAAGGATTCATTGTTACTTACTGTTTTTTAAAAGACAGCTCGTTGATTTTAATCATTATTATCAAAGAAGTAACTCATTATTAAACTCATTACTAATAAACCGCTTTTTAATTACCACCTATTTATTTTTTTAAAATCAAGATAAAAATACAGAAATACTCCCAAATCTCCTTGAAGCAGCATCTTAGGATTCATGAGTAAATGCTACTTTTATTACTCTGCCCCAAGCCAGCAGTTATATTTTAAATGCAGCAACATTGATAATATCATTACTCTAACCTATGTTAAAGGTAACATTGGCATTTGTAATGTATATCAGACAGGAAACATACACAAAGAAAGCAACAAAACAACAGATAGAAATATTGTGGCACCTCAAAGACTAACTGCTGTATTTTGATGTGAGCTTTCCATGGACCAGGTAGTCTGATAACTGGAATTGTTTATAGCCTAATACTGTAATCCGATTCCTTTACTAATAAACCATTGTCACTTTATCTATTATCTTTATCCCCACCTAGTCATAGGGTGATAAATGTGTCAGTCATACAGCCTCACTCTAGTGTCTGAGGAAGTGGACTTGATCCATAAAAGCTGACATTAAAATATAGCAGTTAGTCATTAAGGTGTCACAGTGTTTCTACTACTTGTAATGTCTTTATAAATAGCACCCCACCCCACCTCCACTGGGTGCTGCTGCCAAGGGAGCACCCACTGCATGGGGTGGGACACCGAACCACGAATCAGCTGTTTGGCCAGGAAATGAACCAAGCTGAACTTCCAAACTTCATGCTCATCTCTATGTAAAACCATTGCCTAATTTCCCCTGCACGGAAAGTCATACTCAAGGTGGTACAATGAAGGCTTTCATCTTATATTGAGCAAGAAATGACTGATGTCTAAGCTGGATTCAAAAAAGAAAGAAGCACTTGAGATCATATTGCAAATATCTACTGGCTACCGGATCACACCAAAGAATTTCAGAAAATCAGTCTATGTTTTAGAATACAGCAAGCTTTTGACTGTGTTCATCATATGAAACCATGGGTTATTCTGAAAGAAATTGGTGTGCCACAGCACTTGATTCTCCTGCTGTATACAAGAGCCTGCATTTAGGACAAAATACGAAGACACAAAATGTTTTCCTGTTGGTAAAGGTCTGTTCAATCTGTACTCAGAACTAGACATGGGGACGAATATAAAAATGAATTGTGATATTCAGCATATATTGCTGATTCGTCAGATATTCGTTGCTTTGTATTTGTGAGTTCCAGAGACCTCGACGAACATGAAGCAATGAATATAACCCTTTTATATTTGTTCCTTCATCTTTCCCTCTCTGCTTATGCCCCCACGGATCAGCTGTTCCTTGGAGGCATAGGCAGAAAGCGGTTTTCCCTTCAGGCGGCTTGCTCAAGCCTGCCCAAAGGAAATCTTACACCCCTGTTTACAAAGACAGCAGTGGGGATCGCTTTGGTCAGGCATTCTTTGTCTTTCTATGCCCCCCACAGCATAGATTGGGGAAACCTGACCCAAGCAATTCCCTCCTGTCTTTGCAAACAGTGTGTGTGTGTGGGACGATTGCTTCAGTCAGGCTTGCCCAAAGGGAAGCCCTCCCAGCTGCTATTTGCAATGGAATAGAAGCTAGGCTGCCAGAACAGAAACAGCCATTCCGGCAGCCGAACTTCTGTTTCAGCAGAGGTGGTGGCAGAGCAAGAGGAGGCAGCAGGACAAGTTAAGTGGCAGTGGGAAGGCAGCAGGGGCAGACTGCAGGGGTGGGGGCTCAGCCTTTTTTTTTTTAAGATAGTCCTACCAGCTATCGTTTAAAAAAAGGAAAAAAACTGATGAACTGACAAATTGATTTGTGGTTCGTCAATTCACCAGGGGGAAATTCGTGGCTGATGGGTCATCAAGGTTGATGAGCCACAAACCAAGACGAACTACCATTTTGGCAATTCATCCCCATCTTTACTCAGAACATATCAAACCAAAAGCCAGGCTAGATTCACTTCATGGAGGAGTGAAAATTGGTGGAAGAAACATCAATAATTTAAGATATACAGATGACGCCATCTTTCTGGCAGAAAGCAGCAATGACTTAAAACACCTTAGAGTGAAAGTGAAAGAAGAAAGTGTCAAAACAGGATTGCAGTTGAATATTAAGAAGACAAAAATCATGACTACAGAAGAACTACACAACTTTAATGTTGACAATGAAGAAATTAAATAGTGAAAGATTTTCTATACCTTGGTTCGATCATCAGTCCAGATGGAGACAGCTGCCAATAAATCAGAAGAAGACTGAGACTTGGAAAGGCAGGAGTGAAGGAAATGTAAAATATCTCCAAGTATAACAGTGTATCACTAGAAAGCAAGGCCGAGATAATTCACACTTTTGTATTATTGATCACTATGTATGGGTGTGAAAGCTGGTTAATAAAGAGAACTGACAGGAAAAATATTATTTGTTTGAAATATGGTACTGGATGAGAGCTTTGCTGGACTGCCAGAAAGATAAACAAATGGCTTCTAGATCAAATCAAACCTGAACAATCTGTGGAGGCAAAAATGTTGAAACTGAAGCTGCCTACTTTGGGTACATCATGAGAAGGCAAGGTTCTCTGGAAAAGACAATAATGCTGGGAAAGTTCGAAGGCAGCAGGAAAAGAGGAACGCCAAATACAAAATGGATTGATTTCTTAAGGGAAGCCACAGTCTTGAATTTACAAGAGCTGAGTTCAGGACATGACATTTTGGAGATTGCTGATTCATAGGTTCACCATAAGTCAGAGAAGATGACAGACTTAACAACAACACATCAACATAGGTGAAATGAGGCAAAGATGCTATGAATTCTAGTGATGAATTATCTGAATTCTCTGTGGCAGAGATGCTGAACAAATGGTGTGGAAAGCAAATTCCCTACCCAGAAAATGCCTACAGATCATATTCATATATATTTTTCTTTTCCCACTGAGAAATGCCGGCAGATATCCATCCATCTGGATTGCAGGGGCAAAGCTTGTAAATCAGGCAGTGTTCCTTCTAGGTAGGCTTGAAGTTAATCAATTTACTATGCAGCAGTAGCCTTTTTGCCTTTCTAACTTATTATTTTTTAAGAGATGGGTATTAGATCACAAAAATATCACAGACAGGTGAGATTTCTCGTACTGCATGACTTTTCATCAGACCAGGTGCTATGCTCTTCCTTTTGTCACAATAATTTAGTTAGAAAAAACTTCTACACTTCATTTGCATCAAATTGTCCTCAGGCCATCCTGCAATACTTGATTTTTTTTTTTAAACATGAGGCACCTATCAGAACTTGGTAGTAACTAATCACACAAAATTGGTTATTTGCAATTAATTCCTTTTAGTGGAGGTATAGCTGTATGACATTATAAGTGTAACTCAACAAAAGACAACTCTGGCATCTTTATAGTGTGACTGCAGTGTTTACAGGAGTGTGGCCTCCAGAAATGATGGAGGAGGAATATCATATGTTCTAACACTATCTCATGCTGCTTCCTTGCACCCTATTGTGGGTGATGACACAGGGATCAGAGGGGAGTGTGATTTATACCCCAGGCCTGCATCTGTTAGCATCCAGTGCTTGTTGCAATATATGATGGATTTGCACTTTGTTACTTTCATGAAAAAAAGGAAAAGATTAGTTTGTTTTCTTAATTGCAGCTGCAGTGGTAACTCCTGTTTTGATCATTAGAATTACTGTTATAACTAATCATTTTTAAAAACTCATTTTAATTTCCAAGCTCTGGCACCCACACCCCTTTCCCCCATTGACTTTTAGTCCCTTGACTGAAGGGAGACAACACAATGTGCTTTCTTTCAATTAACCCTGTAATGGCAACTGGAGCAAGGGTCCTTTTTGGCATCTATAGTTAGAGGCATCTACTTCATAATCCAGAATATAGTCATTGCTCTGATGGTGATTTCTAAAGATCGTTTCTGAGCAGAACTAGCATCCCTTTCACTAGACGACATTTGAAGGGATGTCTAACTTCAGGTGTTTGGAACACACCAGAAAACTTTGAAAAAAGTTACTGTTCTTGGATTATACCTCTCAGAATACTTTAATTACTATGGCCACTGGCCATGTTAGCAGGAATATTCTGGCACGTGTAATTCAAAAGCATAATTTCCCCCATCTCTGATTGGTACATGTTGGGTCATTTGGACTGTGTTCTGGATAAGTCTAAGGTTTTAACATTTCCGTTTTGATAGTTTGTGTACTTTAAGAACCACCACTGTTTTTAATGTTCTCTGGTTCAAACTTTTAAGGCTTATTTCAGTTATTTTAATTGGTTGCTTTAATTCTTAACTACCCAGCAAATTCTTTGGGACTATAGAGCTGAATATAGTCTATATTAACAATTTTAAATTGATATGGCTGTTGTTAAATGAAAGAAAGTGGCAATAGATAACAGTAGAAGCTAAACAAGGTGTCCAAATAATCAGTATAGCTATATGAATATAATATTTAGAAAATATAGCATAAATGTAAGTGATAGCCAATAAAACATCATTCTAATAAGAAACGAATCACAGTAAAAGTAGCTCACAAGACCATTTTGAATGGTTTAAAACCACGATATTAACCTCTCACTGTTACATCTGCTGGCATTGAAAGAGGTAGGTCAAGAAAATAGTTTTTACATAGAAAGTAAAGCCTCTCCAGCCATATAATTAAGCAAGTTGCTTTTCTAATTGTGAGTTGGTTTGATGGTGGGAAGGGGAGGGGAAGGGAAGGGACCCCTACACATTTATAGAAAAATGACTATTGGCGGGATGGGGTATTTATGAAAGGAACTAGCAATATTTATCTCTGCAGCCTTCTCATATCATTCCTGGACCATGCCTTAATTTAGACTCTCTCTATTTATCAGATTTCTCTACACGTTTCATTTCTTGACTGAGAATTATAGACAACTGTTAATTGGCATTGTAAACAGGCTTCAGATCTTACCATCTAGAATGGATCAGCTAGGAGGGGCACAGCTCCATTGCCAAAAAGGATGACAAGGAGCACCAAACGGGATGACATTGATTTGGAAGTGCTAATTTAAATAGATACATTAAATATCTGTAGAATTAGACCTAACTGCTGTAATCTAAGTGGAAATACAATATTGCTCTCCTTTTTGCAACATGATTATGAACTTTTGACACAGCATTGAGGAAAAGACTGGAAATTAAAGAAATAAGGAATAGTGTTTAATAACTCTCTGAAATGCCCTGTGCCTTGTATTTTCTGCAGCTTACTGAAAACAAATATATATAGAAAGAAAATAAACAGAGCTCATGGTAGTGTTGTTGAAATAACTAGCTAGGCAACAATCAGTTATTTCAGAGGAATGGTCTGAACAGGGCTTTCAGAATGTCCACTGCTAGGACTGATCACACATCTAACATTCACACACATGGGCATGCCATCCTATAGCTTCCCTGCCATTCATCAGTATATATCAGTATGTGTGGTTTGTGTCTTTTCTTACAAAATGATCCAAGCCATCAAACCATTTCACTTAAAAAGGAGAGAGGGCTGATTAGATATATGTACCAATCAAAGCATCTACTTTCCCTTCTTGACCAGGGAAACTGACTGAGTGTGTATGTGTAGGGTGGCCACTTGCACATCACCAAAAAGAAGGACAGCTCTTCAAATGGAGGACTGTCCTCCCTAAAACAGTAGACATGGCCAGCCTATCTCTGAGCATACTAGGTACCTGCAGATTTGTTAATGGTATCTAGCTTTTTGTCAAAGATAACTGCCTAAAAATTTGATGTGTTTTGTTCAGCACAAAATCTGAAGTGCCTCAGTTCTTGTTTCTAGGACCTGTTAAAAAATCATCAAAACTATGGAAATATCACTGGTGCCATCTGCTATTATTGCAGGTCAGATTTTCTGACTTCTGCCACATGCTTCAGATTGTTTTTTTTTGGGGGGGGGAGGGCAAATAGTCCTACAAGCATGCCTGTGTTTGTCTTTTTCTGAGCTCCAGAATCAGTTTCCAGGGCCACCATTTATCCCGGATACCTTTATATAAGAAGGGTAGTTTTCTGGCCGCAGGCAGGGAACATTTTTTCACCGCTTGTGTAACTATTTACTTATTTATTATATTTATTTATTTATTTATTTGATTTATATCCCGCCCATCTGGTATATTTATACCACTCTACTTTTAGCCTCTGCATATCAGGGACCAAGAAGAAAGTCTGCCAGATATTCTTTTGAAGGGATCCTAAACTGTTATAAACATTTATTTTAGGATTTTAATTAGCCAGAGTTAGCTAGCTATTCTTTCCTAGAAGGAATCTTTTTTTGTTTGGTGTTTTTGAAACAATTTTAAAATTTGTGCTAAGATAGTTCTAAACTTAACCCCTTAGTAGCTGAAATCCTATTACTTAGTATAGTACATCATCCAAGAGTAGGCCCAATGAATCAGTGGGGATTTGGTAAGTCAACTTCTGCATAAGTTCCACTGATATTCCTCCATAGGTTCCAGTGATAGCTACTGATTCATTTGAACTAATGGCTGGATTTAGGCATCAGTCTTTGTTGTTGTTGTTATTGTTGTTGTTTAAAAGAATGTTTCTGTGACTTCCTAATTATTTAGACTGTCATTCTTTGACAAGTACGCTTTTCTTGAGCAATACAATTTGTATAATCAAGAAATTTCACACGTAAAAACAAAAAACAAGGAAAACTCCTTCCCTACAGAGTGGATAGATTATCTGGATTCCAAACCTCTGTTAAAATTTGTGTTTTTACAACGTGTGCAGTAATATTCCCCGTATTCAGTGGAGCACGCTCATTAGCAACTGTGTTTAGGACTGCAATTATACTGTGAAATAAAAAAAATGTGTATGTGACTGTTCCTCTTTTCCAACAATATTTGTCCTTTTTTCAAAACCACAGCTCCTTCACTTATGAATCATTTACCATCACTGCCTCCAAGACTGGATACTGTTGACATGCAGTCTCCCAGAATACCAGGCAGAAAAAGAGGAAGGCCCCCCCTGCATTCTGCTCCTATGAAAATGGCAGTTCATAATCTTTATTCTGCACCAGCTGGCTCTTTGCCAGTTGTGAAGATCCCAAAGAAACGAGGGAGGAAACCTGGATATAAGGTATGAGATTTTCCAAATTACATGGTGCTTCTTTCTCTTGAGAACACAGGGTTTGGAAAGAGGAATTTCTCCAGTGTTTTGTAGGGCAATGGTACATAATATAAGACTTGCCACCTCGCTTGCCAAGGCCAAATATAGCAGCACGTAAGCCTCACCAAAGAGGAGGACAGATGCAAAATAAGAAATGATTCGTATAACTTAAACAAAATTGCAGTGCGTATCATCTGAGTGGGAAGACAATAGCCAAAATCCTGCTGCTTGTTGCAGTACATTGCCCTAGATTAGGCCCATTGAGTCCTTGGACATTTGATGAGTCACCTCCTCTGTACATTCCATTGATTCAAATGGGCCTACTCTGCAATTACTATGCTAAAGTAAGTAGCTTTTAGAGCAGGTTCATTTGAATCAAGGGAACTAACAGAGGAGGTAACACCTATTTTTTTTTCCTGCTGGTAATCTGGGCACAATATCAGGCCATTTCCTGGCATTCTGAATCTTGGATACAGAAGAAGAATATCTGACATTCATAAACAATAGATTCTTTAAATAACAGAATTTACATCAAAACAGCAAGTGCAGCAGAAGAGATAAGTAAACAAGTTTTTAGTTGGTTCCAGAAAACTTGTGGTGCTGAAGGGTCAGGGAATTCTATAGCTGGTACCCTTGTATGGAGAATGCGCTGTCTCGGGGGGGGGTATATTGAAACCTTGCCAAGTGTAGCACTATACAGAGGATAATCCCAATAGGTGAAGGCAAGAATATATTAATGTGAGGTACAGGCTGCTTTGAAAGCAGCTGGCACTCAGAGTTAGACCCTGCCTAGAAGCAGGGAAATGAGGTATTTTGGTATAATTGTTGTAGTATATCCTGACAAAGATGGATTCCTATAAAGAAAGTACTGTAAATATATATAGAAAGAATGAGACAGTAAGTTGAAGATAATTATTTATGGGATTTGGTTTAATGAAGTCACTTCTGTTACAAAGTATCTATGAATGGCTTCTTCATGCCATGATCCCTATTGTTGATTAATGAAAACAAGAAGTAAGATGTCACGTTCTAAGGTATTCATTGGTGATCTGTAAGGACCAGTACATCCAACGTGGTGCTTTTAATTAGCGTTGAACGATTAAAACATCAAAACAACATCACTCCAAGAAGTCAATTCTGTCACTCAAATATGGCCTGTCCTGTTAAAACATATAGCTCTCACTCAAAATTCACTGGCTGCTAGAGCTGGAAAATACATTTTTGTGCTGGATAGATTGCTTGACTTAATTAGCTCAAGAATGGAATGGGTTCCTGCTCTTGTGAGACTAATGTTTATTTCTAAAAACTCCTGCGACCAACACACTTGGGTGGCAGGCAACCAACTTCTTTATGACATCTAGATGCTGGATTATTACAGAACAGATGGATCAAATTGTGCTTGTATTTTGCAAAAAATATATATATATATACAATTTGTGTTAAAATTGCATTTTGCTTGAGATTCACTTTATCTCCACAGACGCCTGAAAAAACATCTTTATGGTCTCCAGAATGTATGTAACATTTTTTTCAGTTGTCATTAAAGCTTCATATCTGGTATAATTTGCCCTTTATAGAAACATAAAGATAAGACATGAATTTTTACATCATCCCAATTTTTTTTATCTCTTAGCAATTCACAGTGCAATCCTATCATATCTGCTCAGAAGGAAGCAGCAATGTTTTTATTAGGGGTTCAGTCCCAGGATAAGTATGCATAAGTCATACTTAAGCACATCTTGACAACCTAGACCGCAACTCAGTGAAAGCTGAAAATTATGTAAGCTTAATGTTCCACCAGGAGCTGAGATCATTGATTTAGACAACAAAGCCCTATGAAGCCCATGGGAGCCCATTACTTACCCCACCCATGAATTGGAGTCACTGTCTAGTCCAGCCTATGGGTTAGACTGCAGTCTTCTGGATACATGTGATCCTCTAAATCTACACGTGATGGTTTGAAAGTGCCTGCAGGGTATTTTTCATCTTTTCCCTCCCTCAAGTAGTCAAGTAACTGCTCTCCATAAAGACAAAATGATCAGGAAACTGATGTCCAAGGTAGCCCATGTAGATGAAGTAGACACTATTAAGTCAATTTCCATTAGAGCAAAATAAATTAACAAACAAACAAACAAATAAAAAATCAGAAATGGATGGTAGCTTTGTAGCTGTTGTTCTCACAAGTGTACAGACTGGACATATATTATGAGAAGGCACCAAAAGTAGAAGAAAAGTATCAAATGACCAAGCCCATATACAGTGGGTCTGTGTGATTTTCATTAAAGTTCTGTGCATTTCCCATGGAGTTGTATAAGATTCTTGAAGGAGAATTTACATGTTTTACATGTTGCCCATGGCAACTAGATGAGGAAGATGGACACTGAGCAAGAGAACTTGCAGAGGAGATGCAGTGATAGAACTTCACATAATTCTAGCAACAACAGTGTCTCTGGATTAGGTTCAAGTGGTTGGGAGCAAATGCATGTGGCTTTTCTTAATAAAACTAATGGCACAGCCAATGCTCATTACAGGTCAATTCATTTTTGTTCAGTTACTTATACTTTACCTTCCTGTAGATGTATCCCTAAATGGATAATATTTAGTGTAAAATAAAAATCATGTTGACTCAATTAGCAGTTAAGGAGAAATAATGACAGAAATACAACTTGAGTGTGAAACAAGATCTATACAAGAATATGAGGGTTTCTGTGTTAATCTGATTGCAGTGCCTTTAGGGGCTTAATGGACGGCTATAACACATTAAATTGGTTCCAGAAGCAAATGGGCAGCCAGCGTTGAGTACAGAATGTGTAATATGAATCTCATCCTACATGCTACAAGGAAACCACTTCTTTCCCTTTGCAATTGCAGAAGGTAAAGGCTCATGCAGCATAATCCCATGGCTGTTCTTCTCTGCTCCTTATTCATAGTTGAAGTTTATTTTAGCATCCACATTATAATCGGCAGCAATGTTTCCTCATTTTGGCTCCAGCCGTGCTACAAGGTTTTCTCAAGATTTCTTCAGCTGACAACTATAAATGTTTGTCTCTGTTTAGCTTAATAGATAACCGCTGTAAGTGTCAGCCTTTGTTTGGTTTTGTGGCTTTCTTTTCCCGATGGCCTAAACCTTTTCCTGACCAAGGCTGAAGGGATATATTGCCTTTGCTGGCTTCTGCGATGTGTCGTGTTCTTGCTCTTGCCACCTTGCTCTTTCACGCGATTGGAGCAAGTGCCCTGGGTAGTACTGTGTCTGGTCTTCGGTGCTGTCCTTTTCTTCCTAATACAAATATATCAAAAGTTGCATCCCATCAGCATTAAAACAGCAAGATAAGCCTTTTCGAGGGGCAGGCAGAGAGTTCCAGGCAAGGCTAACTTGTCAACTTGTGCTATGTTAACACATTTTGGTATGGTGGGTTTTTTTTTGGCAGTGCCATATTGGAAACCATAGTCCTTATATTTATTACACTGGCAAACCTTGTTTGCAATAAAAGGCCTGGTTCCTCTTACGGGGAATGGCATCTTTCACTTGCTACTCCCACGTAACAGGCTACATTCATGGTCATTTTTGGGGGGTAACTGAGTGATAATTTTTGGTCCTAGCAGAATAGTCTGTCTGTCTGTCTTTCTGTCTGTAGGCTGGCTGGCTGGCTGGCTAGCTAGCTCAGTGAGTTAGGTTGGGAATTTAATTCCCTACTGTGCCTCCCAGAAGAGCCAGCCTATGTGGCCTTGACACACTGCACAATCCCAGAATACCCCCAGAAGAAGGGAATGGGAAACCACTTCTGAGTATTTTCTACCTAGAAAATCTTGAAAAGAGTTGCCATAAATCAGAATTGACTTGACAGTGCAGGGGTATGTACTGTATGTATTTCAGACACCAACCATGTATACTGTATACCCTTAGCAAAGAAACTGTTTTTCCACAAAACTAGGGGCATGTTCTTCCTTTCCTAGACACCTCTGTGCAACCTCAACAATACTCCACCCCCGGCCATCTACATTAATGAACATTATAGTCTGGGAAGTTTCCCATCTGTCCTGAGATTTTCAGTGTGGTTTGTTGAGTGCTGGTTGTAACAGAGACTAAATACAGCCAAAGAAAAAGAAAAGAGCCATTCCAGTATACCGGGGTACACAATATCAGGTGTGTGAATTAAAAGGAAAGCAACAAATTTATTAACCTCTGCACCTCCAGTCCCAATGGGTTAATAAGGATCAGTGAACCTGAGGGCTTTGCTGTTATTTTCCAAATCTTTTCATTCAGGTTCAAGTCAAAAATGAATATTCATTTTCTCCATTGCCATATTCAATGATAAAATGGAGCCACAACTCACAAATTAAAATCTCCGTGGTTTCTGAGTAGCAGGGGTGGTGGTATTATCTGTCACACACACCCTGTGGCCCCTGTTCCCTCTTGTGATTAGCTGAAGTCCTCATAGCAGCTAGGAGAGGAAAAGATGTTCTCAGGAACAAAATATATTATTGTAAGTTCTACCTTCTGTAACACAAAGTATTTGAGATTGGTTTATCTTAAATGAAAATTTAAATCCATTCACTTTACAAAAGCCTTGATGTCGACATAGACTGATCCATTCATACATTTATTTTTAAAATCTCCTTATGTGGCACTAAGCAATGTGCACTGTCATGATCAGCACATATACCTCCAAATTTACCACTACACTACCAATCATCATTTTGCTGAGAAGGTCTCTGGACTTATCTCCCCAAAGTCTTAATTGAAGTGAGCTACTGATTATTATGCAATATATATATATATATGAAAAGCAGGAGAGAGAGTGGAATTTGGGGCAAAAGCATATTGCTTCTATCTGGTGATCTGCACCTTCACAGACAAAATGATCGTTTCTCCTACTGATTTATTGTGTTCTGTAAAGTCTATGTCAGATCCAAATTAGGACTTCTAACATGCAATTTTCTCCTCCATTGCTTTTGATTGTCTTCTTGAA